TTTGTGAAGCTGAGGGCTCTGTGTGTGAGCTTAGGTATCTGTGTGTGTGTGTTTGTGAAGCTGAGGGCTGTGTGTGTGCTGAGCTCTCTGTGTGTTTGTGTGAGCTGAACTGAGTGTGTTTCTGTGTGTGTGTGAGTGCAGCTGAGGGCTCTGTGGGTGTGTGTGTGAAGCTGAGGGCTGTGTGTGAGCTGAGCTCTGTGTATGTGTTTGTGTGTGTGTGTTTGTGAAGCTAAGCTCTCTCGGTTTGAGCTGAGCTCTCTCTGTATGTGTGTGTGTGTGATTTGATCTCTGTCTGTGTGATCTGAGCTCTGTCTCTGTGTGTGAGCTGAGCTCTGTGTGTGTTTGTGAAGCTGAGGTATCTGTGTGTGAGCTGAGGTATCTCTGTGTGAAGCTAAACTCTGTGTGTGTGTGTGTGTGTGTGTGAGCTGAGCTCTGTGTGTGTGATCTGAGCTCTCTGTGAAGCTGAGCTCTCTATGATCTGAGCTCTGTGTGTGTGTGTTTGTGAAGCTGAGGTATCTGTGTGAGTTGAGGTATCTCTGTGTTTGTGAAGCTAAGCTCTGTGTGTGTGTGTGTGTGTGTGTGTGAGCTGAGCTCTGTGTGTGTGTGAAGCTGACATCTCTGTGTGAGTTTGTGAAACTGAGCTGAGGTGTCTGTGTGGGTTTGTGAAGCTGAGCTCTGTGTGTGTGAGCTGAGCTTTCTCTGTGTGTTTGTGAAGCTGAGGTATCTGTGTGTGAGTTGAGGTATCTCTGTGAAGCTAAGCTCTGTGTGTGTGTGTGAGCTGAGCTCTGTGTGTGTGTGTGTGAAGCTGACATCTCTGTGTGAGTTTGTGAAACTGAGCTGAAGTGTCTGTGTGTGTGTTTGTGAAGCTGAGCTCTGTGTGTGTGATCTGAGCTCTCTGTGAAGCTGAGCTCTCTCTCTATGATCTGAGCTCTGTGTGTGTGTTTGAAGCTGAGGTATCTGTGTGTGAGCTGAGGTATCTCTGTGTGAAGCTAAACTCTGTGTGTGTGTGTGTGTGAGCTGAGCTCTCTCTGTGAAGCTGAGCTCTCTCTGTGATCTGAGCTCTGTTTGTGTGTTTGTGAAGCTGAGGTATCTGTGTGTGAGCTGAGCTCTCTTTTTAAGTTGAGGTATCTGTGTGTTTGTGAGCTGAGCTCTGTGTTTGTGAAGCTCAGCTCTGTGTTTGTCTGCTGAGCTCTCTCTGTGTGTGAGCTGAGCTCTGTGGTGTGTGTGTGTGAGTGAGCTGAGGTCTCTGTGTGCATGTTTGTGATCTGAGCCCTCTCGGTGTGTGTGTGTGTGTGTGATCTGAGCCCTCTGTGTGTGTGATCTGAGCCCTCTGTGTGTGTGATCTGAGCNCAGTAGGTTTTTTAAACATTTATAACAATTCAGATTTAATTGAAGAGTTAAAACCATGGCAGACTCTGCAGGTTGGCTGCTCCCAACCACATAAACTCCACACCTCTGGAATCAGCATGGAATTCCATGGTTTGGAAAAGCTTTTCCTATCCTATCATATTATATGAAATCATATCATATCATATGAAATTATATTATATAATATAAGAAATTATATTATATATATTGTATGATATGATATGATATGATATGATATTATATTATATTATATTATATTGTATTGTATTGTATTATATTATATTGTATTGTATTGTATTATATTATATTATATGAAAGTATATGAAAGTATATGAAATTATATTATATGAAATTACATGATATGATATATTATATTATATTATATTATATTATATTATTCATATTATATTACATTACATTATAGGAAATCCTATTCTATGATATCCTATTATCTCATATCCTATCATACCATATCCTGTCATACTATATTATATGAAATTATGTAATATAATATATAATATATATTACATTATATTACAATATATTGTATATAAATTATAATATATTATATATAACTTATAATATATTATATATAATTTATAATCTATTATATATATTATATAACTTATAATATATTATATATTATATATTATATATTATAAATTATATATTATATATTATATATTACATATTATATATTATAATATAATGTATAATAATATTATATATTATATTATATTCTGTTTGTCACTTCCTGCAGAGGTGCAGGCACTCAGCTCTGAGATTCCCCTTTCCCTGCAGTGTTCTGAAGTCCTTGGCAGTCTGACATTGCCATCCCCTTCCAGGATCCAGGCACAGCTTTAAACCCTCCAGGTGTTCCCTTAAGGCTTTTTCTTTGCACTCTGCTCATCCTGATCCTCGTTTAATATGAAATCCTCTGGTGACTGGGACATCCTCATGACTCCAAGGCCTAAACTGGGAGTGCCAAAACTTCTTTTCCTTCCTTCCCAGTGCAATTATTCCTGATTGAGATTTCTGGGGGGTGACTCCAGCCTGTGCTGTGCTTTCAGATTGTGAAGTTTGCCCGAGGCCTCCACGCCAAGGTGTCCCCAATGAACGACGTGGACATTGGGGTTTACCAGCTGATGCAGAGTGAGCAGCTGCTGTCACAGAAGGTGGAGTCCCTTTCCCAGGAAGCAGAGAAGTAATTTGGGGAAGGGTGGTGGGAACAACATCTGTGGGATGTAGAGCTCTGGGACACAATTAGAAGCTGCTTTCTCCTTGTTGTTGTTTCCTGTTCATAAACAGAACAGTCACAGCCATGTGCTGGGGCAGCTTTCCCAGCCTTTGTTCCCTGTTCCCTGTGAAAACAAGGTGCAGGGAGTGTTTGCAAGGATTTGGAATGCAGTCAAGGGCTTGTGGGACTCAGCAGTGGTTTGAGGGTGGTTGTATCCAAAATGCACCTTGTGGTCCCCTCAGACAGAGGGAGGGTGGTTGTGGGTTGTGGAAAAAGGAAGAAAATTCCTTTCCTTTCTCCTTTTTCCATCTTGCAGGTGTAAAGAGGATGCCAGGAGTGCTTGCAGAGCTGGGAAGAAGCAGCTGGTGAGTGGAATTGCCAGGGCAATGTCCTGGAGCTGCCCCAGAGCTGCAGATCAACTTGGGGGCTTCATCCCAGGGGTGTTGGCATTCATTCTAGCCAACTGTTAATACACAGACCATTGTTTTTATTTGTCCTTACTTTTTACACCTCATGTAACTTTTCTGCTGACAAATCTCATGGCTGCTGCTTAGCTCCAATCACAGTTCTGTCTCTGAGGCCTGCCCTTGCAGCTTTCCCAAACCCCTCTGATGTTAAGGATTCCCACACCATGGTGCCAGCAGGAGTATTGGACTCACCAAAGTGGGAATAAGCCCAGGGGAGGGGAAAGTTCCCAGATTTGTGGGTGAAGCTGAGCTGAGGCTTCTGTGTGTGAGCTTAGGTATCTGTGGGTGTGTTTGTGAAGCTGAGGGCTGTGTGTGAGCTCTGTGTGTGTGTGTTTGTGAAGCTGAGCTCTGTGTGTGAGTGTGTTTGTGAAGCTGAGGGCTCTGTGTGTGAGCTTAGGTATCTGTGGGTGTGTTTGTGAAGCTGAGGGCTGTGTGTGAGCTGAGCTCTCTGTGTGTTTGTGTGAGCTGAACTGAGTGTGTTTCTGTGTGTGTGTGAGTGCAGCTGAGGGCTCTGTGGGTGTGTTTGTGAAGCTGAGGGCTGTGTGTGAGCTGAGCTCTGTGTATGTGTTTGTGTGTGTGTGTGTGTGTGAAGCTGAAGTCTCTCTGTGAGCTGAGCTCTCTGTGTGTGAGTTGAGGTATCTCTGTGTGTGTTTGTGAAGCTAAGCTCTCTCGGTTTGAGCTGAGCTCTCTCTGTATGTGTGTGTGTGATTTGATCTCTGTCTGTGTGATCTGAGCTCTGTCTCTGTGTGTGAGCTGAGCTCTGTGTGTGTGAGCTGAGCTCTCTGTCTGTGAAGCTGAGCTCTGTGTGTGTGTGTTTGTGAAGCTGAGGTATCTGTGTGTGAGTTGAGGTATCTCTGTTTGTGAAGCTAAGCTCTGTGTGTGTGTGAGCTGAGCTCTGTGTGTGTGTGAAGCTGACATCTCTCTCTGAGTTTGTGAAACTGAGCTGAAGTGTCTGTGTGTGTGTTTGTGAAGCTGAGGTATCTGTGTGTGATCTGAGCTGTCTGTGAAGCTGAGCTCTCTCTGTATGATCTGAGCTCTGTGTGTGTGTTTGAAGCTGAGGTATCTGTGTGTGAGTTGAGGTATCTCTGTGTGAAGCTAAACTCTGTGTGTGTGTGTGTTATCTGAGCTCTCTGTGAAGCTGAGCTCTCTATGATCTGAGCTCTGTGTGTGTGTGTTTGTGAAGCTGAGGTATGTGTGTGTGAGTTGAGGTATCTGTGTGAGTTGAGGTATCTCTGTGTGTGTTTGTGAAGATGAGCTCTGTGTGTGAGCTGAGCTCTCTCTTTTTAAGAGCTCTCTCTCTCTCTCTGTGTTTGTGAAGCTCAGCTCTCTCTGTGTTTGTCTGCTGAGCTCACTCTGTGTGTGAGCTGAGCTCTGTGGTGTGTGTGTGTGAGTGAGCTGAGGTCTCTGTGTGCATGTTTGTGATCTGAGCCCTCTCGGTGTGTGTGTGTGTGTGTGTGTGTGTGTGTGTGATCTGAGCTCTCTGTGTTTGTATGTGTGTGTGTGAGATCTGAGCTCTGTGTGTGTAATTTGATCTCTCTCTCTGTGTGATCTGAGCTCTCTACGTGTGTTGTGTGTATGTGTGTGAGCTGAGCTCTGTGATTTGAGCTCTCTGTCTGTGTGTGTGATCTGATCTCTGTGTGTGTGTGATCTGAGCTCTCTGTGTGTGTGTGTGATTTGATATCTCTGTGTGTGTGTGTGATCTAAGCTTCCTGTCCCTATTTGTGTCCCTGNTCCCAGCCTGGCCACCCAAATCCCCCCAGCCCACATTCCCTGGACATTATTCCAGCTGCTTTCCCATGGGCTTGGATCCTGGCCCAGCCCCTCCTCTCTCTCTGTTACTCTGTGTCTGCTGAATGAGCCCCAGGCCTTGCCGTGCTTCTCTGGGTTACTGTGTCCAGCAGAAATGCAGGAAATCTTTAAAAGCAGGAGTTTTTATTTGTTTCAGACCTGGGGAGGGATTTCCAGGAAGTGCAGGGGAAGCCCATTGATTGCCTGTGCGGTTCCTGTGCTGCTCCACAGCTCTCCAGGGAATGTCAATAACAGAGTTTTGGTTTTTGTGGGTGACTATTTTGAGAGTTCCCTGTGGCTCATTGTGAAATTCACTCCAGAATGAAGCAGGAAGTGTCCAAGCTGGGAGGAAGGAGGTGTGGGAGGGTTTGGGAAGAGCAGGAATGCTGTGTGAGCATCCCTGGGATGCCTTGGGGTGGCTGCCTACAACAGAGGCTAGACTGAGCTAGAGAATAAAGTCAGTATTATATTAAAATAATTTATTATTTTAATAATAAATAATAAATTTATTAATAAAAAAGTAAACGGAATCAATAACAAATTAATAAATATTTATTAATAACAAATAATAATTTAGTACATGTTAATAATAAATAATATTAATAATAGATAATATTAAAGGCTTTCAGTAGCTACACCTTGGGCAGTCAGCAGCCTCCAGGATGCACAGTGCTCCTGAGTTTTTCAGACAGGGATGAGTTTGATTCATTTACATATCAGGAGTTAATTGTACAATTACAGATTCAGGCTATATTTACCCCCAGTTTGTCCCTCTAATTCACTTTGTTGATGTTTTTTGGGGCCTGAGGCAGCAGAGTGTTCCTGGATCTCAGGTCTGGAGGGATTGTTCTGTGTGCCCAGAATGTGAAGCCAGTAACCAACACTCTGTTTGGAGTTCAGAGGGATGCACTAAGGCAGGGCAGGATCTGGAAAATTCCAAAGGTGGAATCCTAAGGCATCACTGTGATTTATTAAAAAACTATGGATATTGATCTAGTGCCGATATCCAACTGTGATGGACAAAAACTCTCTAAGAGTTTAGAGTTAGAAATTGTATGTTTATTGTGGGATAGCTCCCAAATACACACTGCAATTTACAGGTGATTACAGAGTTCTTTTGGGTATTGAATACCCAAACTGCAAATACACATTCACATCTTTGGTACATCCTGATATTGATATTGATCTAGTATTGATATCCAAAAACTCTCTGACAGTTTAAAGTTATTGTGGGATAGCTCCCAAATACACACTGCAATTTACAGGTGATTACAGAGTCCTTTTGTCTATACAAATATTGAATACCCAAAATACAAATGCATATTGATAACTTTGGTACTTCCCATTCCCAATATGGATATTGATCTAGTACCAATATCCAAAAACTCTCTGACAGTTTAAAGTTATTGTGGGATAGCTCCCAAATACACACTGCAATTTACAGGTGATTACAGAGTCCTTTTGGGTATTGAATACCCAAAATACAAATACACATTCACATCTTTGGTACATCCCATTCCCAATATGGATATTGATCTAGTACCGATACCCAAAAACTCTTTGACAGTTTAAAGTTAGAAATCAAACAACAATCAAAAAACAATTTACAGGTGTTTAGAGAGTCCTTGTATCCATACAGGTATTGAACACCCAAAANATTTCCAGGTGTTCAATGCCTACCAGGCAGGGGTGGGAGCTCTGAAGCTCTCCATGAAGGACGTGACTGTGGAGAGGGCAGAGAACCTGGTGGATCAGATCCAAGAGGTAACAAAATACAAAATACAACAGAGCAGATTCCCAGAAACCTGCCCAGATATTCATTTATTATTCCTTCTTTGGTTGCTTTGAATTATTTCGTTTTTTTCCCTTCTCCCTGAGTTAATTTTGAGCTAAAGCATCAGCAAGAAGGTTTCTGTGTCTTCTGGTTTTGCTGCAATGGATTTTGATTTATTTTAAATTTTCTGGGTTTTTTTTTTGATCTGCAATATTGAGGAAGCACCCAGCTTTCCTAGGAAGTCTTTGGGTGTATTAAAAATTTGTATTAAAAATACAAATTAAACATTTGGAAGCTGGAATGAACAGTGTGCATGAAACAGCCTGACATTTTATTTTATTTTGTTTTATTTTATTTTATTTTATTTTATTTTATTTTATTTGACTTTATTTTATTTTATTTTACTTTATTTTATTTGACTTTATTTTACTTTATTGTACTTTATCGTACTTTATTGTACTTTATTGTACTTTGTCTTTTATTTTATTGTATTTTATTGTATTTTATTGTAATTTTTAATTTTAATTGTATTGCACTTTATTTTATTTTATTTATTTATGATTTTCATTTTATTTTTAAAATTTTATTCTGTTTCTTTTTAATTTCTTATTTTATTTTATCTTATTTTGTAATTTAATTTTGTTTTATTTTTAAAATTTTATTTTATTTCTTTTAATTTTTTATTTTATTTTTTTACTTTGTTTTTTATTCTATTTTATTCGTGTTCTTTATTTTATTTTATTTTACTTATTTTATCATATTGTATTGTATTTTAAATTTATTTTATATTTTTATTTTATTTTTAAAATTTTATTCTATTTCTTTTTAATTTCTTATTTTATTTCATTTCATTTATTTTTTATTCTGTTTTTAAAATTTAATTTTATTTTATTTATTTTTAACTTTTTATTTTATTACTGTTTTGTTTTTTCTATTTTATTCATTTAAAATTTTTTTATTCTGTTTTTATTCTGTTCTATTTTTATTCTAGTTTTATTTTATTTTCAGTTTATTTNTACATCCCATTCCCAATATGGATATTGATCTAGTACTGATATCCAAAAACTCTCTGACAGTTTAGAGTTAAAAAGTGTATGATTATTGTGGGATAATTCCCAAGTACACACCATTTACAGGTGATTACAGAGTCCTTTATCTGTACAGGTATTGAACACCCAAAATACAAATACACGTTCATAACTTTGGTACATCCCATTCCCCATGGTAATTAGTTCCAAAGGTATTAAGCATGAGTAGTTTGAGATGGGTTGGTTGTCCCTTTCATGGGGAGGGGTCCCAAACTGAGGAAATAAATGAAGTCTTCCTCATTCTGACCATTTTACCTTTTCAATGCAAATCTGACAAATGAACCATTGGTAGAACTCCCATTCCCCATCTTCGATTGGTTTCAGAACAGAGGAGGCCACAATTGTCTTATGTTGCTAAAAACAATTGTCTTATGATGCCAAAAACAATTGTCTTATGTTCTTAAAAACAATTGTCTTATGTTCCTAAAAACAATTGTTTTACGTTCCTAAAAACAATTGTCTTACGTTCCTAAAAACAATTGTCTTACGTTGCTAAAAACAATTGTCTTATGTTCCTAAAAGCTATTTATCATTTTCTATATTCTTCATTATAAACCCAGCTAACAAACATTGTGTTGACAAGCAATCAGTTATTAAACTACTAACTCTTAATTAAAATAAGTAGATATGTCTTGATGAAGGAACTCCAGTGAAGCTTATCTCTGACTAAACTCTCAGCTGCTGAGTTCCCTGATTTGTGTGTGCCGGCTCGTTGCAGGAGAAGGCAGAGGAGGTTTACCGGCTGTACCAGAGCTCGGCGCTCTCGTCGCACCCCGTGGTGGCGCTGTCGGAGCTGCGCTCGCTGTGCGCCGGCCTGTGCCCCGACGAGAGAACCTTCTACCTGCTGCTGCTGCAGCTGCAGAAGGAGAAGAGGGTCACCATCCTGGAGCAGAACGGAGAGAAGGTACAGGGTCCAGGTGACTGCTTTGGGGTGGTATCATCCCTGTCTTGCTTCCATCTGCCTGCAGAGAAATGGATTGGAGGTATTGGTGGCTGAAGTGGGTGTGCTGTGGCTGGAAAGGTAAATTCCACCTGCNAGGCCGGCTTGGATGGGGCTTGGAGCAGCCTGAGGCAGTGTCGGGTGTCCTGGCATGGCAGGGGTGGCGCTGGGTGGGATTTGAGGTCCTTCCAAGCCAAAGCAGTCTGAGATTCTGTGAATTGCGGTTCATGGTGTGTGTGTGTGGAATCTGGGAGGCCGAGCTGGACAGGGAGTCAGAGCTCAGGAGGTGTGGGAGGACAGGAATATTCCCACAGGAATATCGCTGCTAAACAGGGAGATAAGCCCAGGAATGTTGTGGTGTCGCGGCTGCTGAGGGCACCGGGGATGTGTTGAGCTGTGTTTGCAACCAGAGGTTTGTGCTGTGAAATTGCTCTGTTGGTGACCTGAAAATTAAAACCGGTAGATTTGAGAAGCTGTTGTTGCAATTTAGTATAAAAACAGAGCTATCCTGAAATGGCTGATTACCCCTAAAACTGACCCTCCCTGTTCATCACCTCCTTTGATGCCTCATCAGTTTTGAGTAGAAAACTGGGAGAAACTTGCAAAACGGGAAAAAAGAGTAAACAAAAAGCACTTGGGATCCAGAGGAAGCAGGGGAGGAGTGGAAACCTCTGGGTGCTTCCAGCAATGACATCTCAAACTTGAGCTGGATTTGGTGATAGAAAATGCCACTGGAGTGGAGGATGTGCAGGATATCCAGGGTTTAGACTGGCTGTGTTCAGTTCCACCTGAATTATCTTCTCCCTAGACGTGGGAAGCTCCAGAGGGAGTCAGACTTCATGGCCAGTGTAGACAGCAGCTGGATCTCGTGGGGTGTGGGAGTTTTCATCCTGAAGCCCCTCAAGTGGACCCTCTCCAGCGTGCTGGGGGACAGCAAAATCCCTGAGGAAGAGGAGGTTCTGATTTACGTGGAGCTGCTGCAGGTGAGTGTTGTGGAGAAGCTTTCCTGAGATTGTGCATGTCCAGGAAAACCAGGAGTCATTTCCAGGGCTGGGCAGATCTTCCTTGGTGCTACTGAGCCTGGAGAGGGATGTGGGGAGTGCCTTGGGGATGGGAAGGGATTTGGAGGTTCCTTGAAAAGGATGGAGCTGCTCCAAGGGCTGGACCAGGCTGGGAGAGCTGGAGGTGCTCACCTGGAGAGGAGAAACTCCAGGGAGAGCTCAGAGCCCCTTCCAGAGCCTGAGGGGGCTCCAGGAGAGCTGGAGAGGGATTTGCACAGGGGTGGAGGGACAGGGCACAGGGAATGGCTCCCACTGCCAGAGGGCAGGGATGGATGGGATATTGGGAATTGGGAATTGTTCCCTGGGAGGGAGGGATGGAATTCCCAGGGAGCTGTGGCTGCCCCTGCATCCCTGGCAGTGCCCAAGGCCAGGCTGGAGCCCCCTGGGGCAGTGGGAGGTGCCCCTGCATGGCAGGGGTGGCACTGGGGGGGATTTCAGGTCCTTCCATCCCAAACCATTCCATGGCTCTGACAGTGACTTCTCACTGACTCCAGGAAAAGGGAGGGACACAATTCCCTGTTTGTCCAGGGAGGTGAGAACTGTGCTGGGAATCCCAGGCTGGAGCTCATTCCTCTGCAGGAACTCTGAGCCCCAGCTCCATCTATTTCAGGGATGAGCAGGGATGGGACAGTCCCAGCCTGGCTGGAGCTCATTCCTGTGCAGGAGCTCTGAGCCCCAGCTCCATCTATTTCAGGGATGAGCAGGGATGGGACAGTCCCAGCCTGGCTGGAGCTCATTCCTGTGCAGGAGCTCTGAGCCCCAGCTCCATTTGCTCCTGGGATGAACAGGGCATGGGACAGGCCCAATCTGGCTGGAGCTCATTCCTGTGCAGGAATTCTGAGCCTGAGCTCCATCTGCCCCAGGGATGAGCAGGGCATGGGAGAGTCCCAGCCTGGCTGGAGATCATTCCTGTGCAGGACATGAGGAACTCAGAGCCTGAGCTCCCTTTGCTCCAGGGATGAGCAGGGATGGATCAGTCCCAGCCTGGCTGGAGCTGTGTTCATTCCTGTGCAGGAATTCTGAGCCCCAGCTCCATCTGCTTCAGGGGATGGATCAATCCCAGCCAGGCTGGAGCTCGTTCCTGTGCAGGAACTCTGAGCCCCAGCTCCATTTGCTCCTGGGATGAACAGGAGATTGGGCAGGCACAGCCAGGCTGGAGCTCATCCCTGTGCAGGACATGGGGCTCAGAGTTCCTCAGCTCCATCTGCCCCAGGGATGAGCAGGGATGGATCAATCCCAGCCTGGCTGGAGCTGTGCTCATTTCTGTGCAGGAATTCTGAGCCCCAGCTCCATCTGCTCCAGGGGTGAGCAATGATGGGACAGTCCCAGCCTGGCTGGAGCTCATTCCTGTGCAGGACATGAGGAACTCAGAGCCTGAGCTCCATCTGTCCCAGGGATGAGCAGTGATGGGATAGGCCCAATCTGGCTGGAGCTGTGCTCATTCCTGTGCAGGAGCTCTGAGTCCCAGCTCCATCTGCTCCAGGAATGAACAGGAGATTGGACAGTCCCAGCCTGGCTGGAGCTCATTCCTGTGCAGGAATTCTGAGCCCCAGCCCCATCTGCCCCAGGGATGAGCAGGGATGGATCAATCCCAGCCTGGCTGGAGATCATTCCTGTGCAGGGCACGAGGAGCTCTGAGCCCCAGCTTGATCTGATCAGTGATGGGAATCAATCCCAGCCAGGCTGGAGCTCGTTCCNTGTGTCTGATTGTGTTTATTTTCCCTCAGCTTTGTGACACTCAAGATGAAGTGGCCCAGACTCTGGCTGGAGTGGGGATCAATGGGCTGGGTATGTGCTGGCTTCTCATCCTTTGCTTCTGCTTTGCCTGCTCCCTCCTTTCACTTCCTCCCTCCCATCCCTGCTCCCTCCCATCCATCCCTGCTCCCTCCCATCCCTGCTCTGTCCTTTCCCTTCCTCCCTCCCGTCCCTGCTCCCTCCCATCCCTGTTCCCTCCCATCCCTGCTCTATCCCATCCCTGCTCCCTCCCTTTCCCTGATCCTCCCTTTCCCTGCTCCCTCCTTTCCCTTCCTCCCTCCCATCCCTGCTCCCTCCTTTCCCTACTCCTTGTCCTTACTCCATTCCTTCCTTCCTCCCTCCTTTCCCTTGCTCGGTCCCTTTCCCTGATCCCTCCCTTTCCCTGATCCTTCCTTTCCCTGCTCCCTCCTGTCCCTTCCTCCTTCCTTTCCCTGCTCCATCCCTTTCCCTGATCCTTCCTTTCCCCACTCCCTCCTGTCCCTTACTATCCTTGCAGGCCTCCCATCCCTGCTCCCTCCTTTCCCTACTCCTTGTTCTTACTCCATTCCTTCCTGCTCCCTCCTTTTCCTTACTCCCTCCTTTCCCTTGCTCCTTCCTTTCCCTGCTCCTTCCCATCCCTTTCTCCCTCCTTTCCCTTACTCCCTCCTTTCCCTGCTCCATCCCTTTCCCTGATCCTTCTTTTCCCTGCTCCTTCCTTTTCATTGATCCCTCCCTTCTCTGCTCCCTCCTTTCCCTTCCTGCCTCCTTTCCCTCTCCCTCCCTTTCCCTGATCCTTCCTTTCCCTACTCCCTCCTGTCCCTTCCTCCATCCTATCCCTGCTCCTTCCTTTCCTTGCTCCATCCTATCCCTGCTCCTTCCCATCCCTGCTCCCTCCTTTCCCTTTCTCCCTCCTTTCCCTTCCCCCCTCCTTTCGCTGCTCCATCCCTTTCCCTGATCCTTCCTTTCCCCGCTCCTTCCTTTTCATTGCTCCTTCCATTCCATGCTCCCTCCCTTCTCTGCTCCCTCATTTCCCTTCCTGCCTCCTTTCCCTGCTCCATCCCTTTTTCTGCTCCCTCCCTTTCCTTTCCTCCTTCCTATCACTGCTCCATCCCTTTCCCTGGTCCTTCTTTTTCCTTACTCCTTCTTTTCCCTGCTCCTTCCATTCCCTGCTCTCTTTTCCCTGCTCCCTCCCATCCCTTTTTCCCCCCTTTCCCTTTTTCCCCCCTTTTCCCTTTTTCCCCTCCTTTCCCTTTTTCCCTCCTTTCCCTTTTTCCCTCCTTTCCCTTTTTCCCTCCTTTCCCTTTCTCCCCCCTTTCCCTTTTTCCCCCCTTTCCCTTTTTCCCTCCTTTCCCTTTTTCCCCCCTTTCCCTTTTTCCCCCCTTTCCCTTTTTTCCCTTTCTCCCTCCTTTCCCTTTTCCCTCCCTTCCCTGCTCCCTCCCCACATTCAGCACCTTCCTGGGGCAATAAACTCTTCCCAAAACACCAAAGTTGGTGCCTGAAGGGAATGGGAGCAGGGATTTCTCCCCCCTGACAGTTTCTCCATCTCCAGATCCTCGTGGTCCCTGTTTGGGGCTGGGTTTCAGTTCAAAGCTGGGTAATGTTGGTTTAAATTTATTTTTAGGGCAGCTGCTGCTTTGTTTTGTTGAAGTGATGAGCTTTTTCCTCTGGCCTGGTTGCTGCTGCAGCTTGTTTGCCTCTGCTGAAAGGTGCCAGAGCTTCTTGGCCTCAGTGCCAAGGAAAAAATTCTCCTCCCTGAGATCAGGACTGAAATTTCAGTCCTTTAAAAGGAGTACAGGAAATTCCTTGTGAGTAACAATGGAGGGAAGGAATAACAGCTCAGCTTTGGATCTCAGTCTGTGCTGTGAGGATGCCACTGAACTCTCCTTGCAGCTGAACTCTTTTCTTTGCTCAGCAGAGATGGACTCTGAGGAGCTGGAGCAGGAGCTGGACAGTCTCCTGCAGGACTCCAGCAAGGACTCCCTGGATCTGCCTCCCGTCCCCCAGAAGGTGCTGAGCGCCCCCATCTCTGATGCCGAGCTGGAAGCTGAGCTGGAGCAGCTCTCTGTGTCTGCTGGAGGTGGGAATGGCAGCAGGGCCTGGGAGGGGAGCTGGCACAGCCCTGGGCAGCACAGGGGCAGCAGAGGCCTGGCAGGGCTGGGAATTGTGCCTGGATCCAGGCTCAGGAGAGTTAAACCCAGATCTGGGAGAGCTGGGAATTCTGGATCCCGGCTCTGCAGAGCTAAACCCAGTCCTGAGCTGGGAATTCTGCCTGGATCCTGCTTCAGGAGAGTTAAACCCAGTCCTGGCAGAGCTGGGAATTCTGCCTGGATTCTCTTTCAGCAGAGCTTAACCCAGATCTGGGAGAGCTGGGAATTCTGGATCCAGGCTCAGGAGAGCTAAACCCAGCCCTGAGCTGGGAATTCTGCCTGGATCCTTTCCCAGGGGTGGAGGCAGAGCTGAAGGCTCTGTGAGGGAGCTGCTGCTTGGACAAATTGATTTTTTACATTTAACAAAGTTGTACAAAGCCAGGCAGTGTTGGAAGGGATAAACCAGAATTTTCTAAACAGGATTTGTCCAGCACTCAGCATCTCCCCTGGAATGCTCTTTATGTGAGTCAGGCCTGCTTAAGCTGGGCTTTATTTACTGATAAGAAAATAAATAATAAGAATGATAAATCATATTTTATGATTTATTAATGATCTTTTGGGATCCCTTCCAGCTCAGGATATCCCATGATTCAGTAACAGTGAATGACCAGAGTTTATGGGCTTGCACTGAACTTTCCCTACACATGTCCTGGACAGTTTATTTTCCTTTTGGGAATCTGTTAATGAACAATTCCACAGGATTGGCCTTGTAGTTTTCCTTCTGTTTGGGCAGGTTATAAACCAAATTTCCAAGGCATTCCCTGGAAATTTCCTGGGCATGTCCTGTTCCACATGGAACNTGAAGGGGAGATCCTTTCCTGATCCTTTCCTACAGCCTCAAGTTGTGCCAGGGGAGGTTTAGGTAGGAAATCGGGACAAAATCCTTCATGGAAAATGTCAGACACTGGAAGGGTGGAATCACCGTCCCTGGAGGGTTCAAACAGTGTGGAGGTGGCACTTGGGGACACCGTGTGGGGTGGCCTTGATGGTCTGAAGGTCTTTGCCAAACTTAAGTCCATAATTTTACATTTGGTGCTCCCAAGGAGGAGCTGATTTGTGTCTCAAAGGATTTCCTGGAAGCCTCCTGGCTTGGGATGTGCCACCATGGGCTGCCACTGCCACCCTGTGCTGTGACTTACGGAGGTGGCAGATCCAGTGCCACCCTGCCCTGTGTGTGACAGATCCAGTGCCACCAGTGCCCTGTGTGACAGATCAGTGCCACCCTGCTCTGTGTGACAGATCAGTGCCACCCTGCTGTGTGACAGATCCAGTGCCACCCATGCCCTGTGTGTGACAGATCCAGTGCCACCAGTGCCCTGTGTGACAGATCCAGTGCCACCAGTGCCCTGTGTGACAGATCCAGTGCCACTCTGCTGTGTGACAGATCAGTGCCACCCATGCCCTGTGTGACAGATCAGTTCCACCAGTGCACTGTGTGACAGATCCAGTGCCACCCATGCCATGTGTGACAGATCCAGTGCCACTCTGCTCTGTGTGACAGATCCAGTGCCACCAGTGCTCTGTGTGACAGATCAGTGCCACCAGTGCCCTGTGTGACAGATCCAGTGCCACCCTGCTCTGTGTGACAGTTCCAGTGCCACCAGTGCTCTGTGTGACAGATCAGTGCCACCAGTGCTCTGTGTGACAGATCCAGTGCCACCCTGCTGGGCTGTGACAGATCCAGTGCCACCCATGCCCTGTGTGACAGATCCAGTGCCACCCTGCCCTGTGTGACAGATCAGTTCCACCTATGCTCTATGTGACAGACCCAGTGCCACCCATGCCATGTGTGACAGATCAGTGCCACTCTGCTCTGTGTGACAGATCAGTGCCACCCATGCCCTGTGCGACAGATCCAGTGCCACCCTGCGCTGTCACAGGGCACTGCCACCCTGCTCACCCGGTCAGCAGTGACAGCAGTGACAGCAGTGACAGCAGTGGCAGCAGTGACAGCATCCTGGTGTTTGTTTCTGAGCCCCTGAAAACCTTCATGCCCAGAGCGGGGCTTGGGAGGAAAATGCCCCGTGGGGCACCAGGGGCAGCGCATCCCTGGGTGGGTGAGGGATCTGCNGATCCTATCCCATCTCAAGGATCCCATCCCATGCCATTCCATCCCATGGGTCCCATGGATTCCATCTCATCCCATGGATCTCATCCCATCCAATCCCATGAATCCCATCCCCTCCCATCTCATGGGTCCCATCCCATCCCATGGATCCCATCCCATGAATCCCATCCCATGGATCCCATGGATCCCCTCCCATGGATCTCATCCCATCCCATCCCATGGATCCTATCCCATCTCAAGGATCCCATCCCATCCCATGGATCCCATGGATCCCATCCCATCCTATCCCATGAATCCCATCCCATCCCATCCCATGGATCCTATCCCATGTCAAGGATCCCATCCCATCCCATTCCATCTCATGGGTCCCATGGATTCCATCCCATCCCATCCCATGAATCCCATCCTGTCCTATCTCATGGATCCCATCCCATGGATCTCATCCCATCCCATCCCATCCCATCCCATGGATCCCATCCTATCCCATCTCATGGGTCCCGTCCCATCGCATCCCATCCATCCCATGGATCCCATCCCATCCCATATCATGGGTCCCATGGATCCCACCCCATCCCATGGATTCCATCCCATGGATCCTATCCCATCTCAAGGATCCCATCCCATTCCATCCCATGGGTCCCATGGATTCCATCTCATCCCATGGATCTCATCCCATCCCATCCCATGAATCCCATCCCGTCCCATCTCATGGGTCCCATCCCATCCCATGGATCCCATCCCATGGATCCCATCCCATGGATCCCATCCCATCCCATGGATCCCATCCCATCTCAAGGATCCCATCCCATCCCATTCCATCTCATGGGTCCCTTGGATCCCATCCCATCCCATGGATCCCATCCCATCCCATGGATCCCATCCCATGGATCCCATGCCATCCCATGGATCCCATCCCATGGATCCCATCCCATCCTATCCCATGAATCCCATCCCATCCCATGGATCTCATCCCATCTCAAGGATCCCATCCCATCCCATTCCATCTCATGGGTCCCATGGATTCCATCCCATCCCATGGATCCCATTATTACAGTGACCTTAGACGGTCACTGTGGTGAGAGAAGGACGAGAATCTTGTTCCTTGATCAGAAGGCTGGATTTATTGATATAAGATACATAATACATTATAACTATACTAAAAAGAATAAAAAGAGAGCTTGCAGAGACTGCTAAGCTAAGCTAAGAATAGAATAGAAGGAATGAATAACAAAGTTCTGTGTTCAAGGAATCTCCCCTGAGCTGCTCCTGTGATTGGCCCTTAATGGTCCACATGGAAGGAGGGCCAATCACAGGAACCCCTGCCACATTTCACAGCAGCCGATAACAATTTGTTTACATTCTTTTTCTGGGGCTCTGCTTCCCAGAAGAGGGACAAATCCCAAAGAAAGGATTTCTATGAAGAAATGTCTGTGANCCACTGGGAATGTGTTCCTGCACCACTGGGAATTTATTCCCACAGCACTGGGATTGTATTCCCACAGCATTGGGAATTTATTCCAGTACCATTGGGAATTTATTCCCCCAGCACTGGGAATTTATTCCCAGAGCATTTGGAATGTATCCCAGTACCATTGGGAATTTATTCCAGTACCACTGGGAATTGATTCTCACATCATTGGGAATGTATCCCTGCACCACTAGGAATGTATTCCTGCACCACTGGGAATTTATTCCCACAGCATTGGGATTGTAGCCCAGTACCACTGGGAATGTGTTCCCACAACACTGGGAATGTATTCCAGTTCCACTGGGAATTTATTCCAGTACTACTGGGAATGTGTTCCTGCACCTGTGGGAATGAATTCCCCCAGCACTTGGAATGTATTCCAGCAGCACTGGGAATGTATTCCAATATCACTGAGAATTTATTCCCACAGCATTGGGAATGTGTCCCAGTACCACCAGTGGGAATGTATCCCAGTACCAATGGGAATTTATTCCAGCATCACTGGGAATTTATTCTCACAGCACTGGGAATTTATTCCCACAGCACTGGGATTGTATTCCCACAGCATTGGGAATTTATTCCAGTACTACTGGGAATGTATTCCTCCACCTGTGAGTGGAATGTGTTCCCCAGCACTTGGAATGTATTCCAGCAGCACTGGGAATGTATTCCTGCCCCATTGGGAATTTATTCCAGCAGCACTGGGAATGCATTCCAATATCACTGAGAATTTATTCCCACAACATTGGGAATGTATCCCTGCACCAATGGGAATTTATTCCACCATCACTGGGAATTTATTCTCACAGCACTGGGAATTTATTCTCACAGCATTGGGAATGTATCCCTGTACCGCTGGGGATGTGTTCCAGCATCCCTGGGAATTTATTCCAGCATCCCTGGGGATGTATCCCAGCACCAGGAATGTGTCCCAGCACTTCCACGCTGCCTCTGCAGCCCCCACTCCTCGCTGGCACCGTGGGTAACGCACTGGGGGCTGGAGTTGCCCCTCCCGGTGCCCATTCCGTGCCAGGGTGGCACTGGGGCTGTCCCAGGGGCTGTGTCCCCCCTGGCACCGCTCACCAGTGCAGGTCCTGCCAGGGGAGGGGGAGGCTGCAGCTCTCCCGTCCCCGTGGAATGATGTACAATGACTTGAAGCTCTGTGTTCCTTTCCTCTGGAAGTAAATGGGAGAAAATCCTCGGTGTTTTCTGCCTGTGTGTGACCAGAGGGGATGGGAGGGACCCGGGGGCCTCCTGTGCTTTGTCCCTGCTCCAGCTGCTGATCCAGCTGTGCTGGCATCCAGGGATAGCCCTGGGCTGCTTTATCCAAACCCAAACAGCGCCTGCTCCACCAGACTGACCTGGGTGTAAAAACCCCATTATTAAATATTACC